TTATCTGAAAAGTTGGAAAAAGGAACTCAATTAGTTTAGATATTACTCGACTTGGAAAATTTTGTTGTTACACTCGGTATATGACCAGTGTATAAACCAGATAACACAAGGACTTGTACTTGGTTTGAGTATTACCAATTCTATTGGCATATTGCTGAAGATGTCTGATATGCCAACTGACCATGTCTCTTTTACGGAAATGATGAGAAATCGCTTGATATACAACACAAGGACAGTGAAGAACTATCCGAATTGAGCTGAATTTTGTCAGTGAGAGAGAGAGATAGACATTTCGAAAGACAAAGAGGAAGAGATTTTCTTTTCATAACTGATTCACATTTGCAGCCTAACAAAAAAGAATTAAACGTAACTTTTCCTATAATCTACCGCAAGCGGTTATTTTCTTGCTTCTAATTATTATTGAGGCCAAATCTCCTTGCATTTTCGATAATTGCTTTACGGAATATTTGCATCTGATAAATATTTACATATCAGATGAATAGACAAATTAATGAAATAAAAAATATCATATTTATCTAATATAAACTATTTTATAATGTATAACTATATTGGGTTTGACAAAATAGCCTTTTTTTACACGCAATTCTGATTAAATTATGTTGGTTGATTTAACAACATTGTGGGTTTTATGTAATGTCGAAATTTTGTATGAGGCGCCTACTGAGTAATAAGCTCACTACATAGTAGGGAAAATATTTTAAACTAGCTTTAGTATCCATTCTCCAACGACAAAACGGCCGGGTGATAGATTGAGAGAACGGTGTTGGCACTGCAGAGGGGAGGCTTTGCCGATATTTCGTCCGGGAGGGAGATATTAAGATGGATACCACATTAAAACCGGCCTTGTGCCAATGATAAATACTGAACGGTGTTGGGCCTCGTTATCTTTGCCGAAGGGCCATAGAGAGATAGATAGATAATTCATCGAACAGGATATGATAGATAGATAGATAACCCGGACGATAGATAGATACGGAATATGATAGATAGATAGAACCCGTCTAGATAGAGTTCGTGTGACCATAGTACCTATTCTTTGGTAATGGATTCTCCCATAGATAAGAAGTAGGAGTAGCAGTGTCAAATCGGTGGTCGAACGGAGGGCTTTGCCGAAGTTGGCTATATTTTTTGCCGGGTCTCTGACTACGCATACTGAAAACCGGCCTTTTGCCCCGGACGAGGCTTTGCCGAAGGGGCAAGGTTTCGTCCGTGGGTGGAAGGCCTGAACCCGTAAATACCCGGGGATCTCTTTTTACCACTGCGCGAACGAACGGTTTGAGCGGTCTCTGTCGAACTCTCGAACTGCATTAGTTAGAGGAACCCGGACGAGGCTTTGCCGAAGGGCAAGGTTTCGTCCGGGGAGGTAGACAAGGACTGAACCCGTCTAATCGGCTTCAAAAGGCTATTTTTTTGGCCGAGCCTACGGGCTCGGAGAAACCCACAATAAAACCGGCCTTGTGCCATATTCGTTTCTCGTGGGTGAAATGATAAATACCGAACGGTGTTGAGAACGTCAGTCGAGATTCGGACATTTGAAGTACCAACCATCACAACTAGATTTGCTGCGTCATTGACTATTGTATTCCAAGTTCCTAACGTTTTGTACGACTTATTAGAAATACAAACCTCCACTGTGAAAATACTCCACAACATTCTGGCGACGAGGATTCGAAACCCACACGGGGAAAAAAAACGTTTTCGTTCGCCTAACCACAACATTTTGGGCAACGGACTTGTAATCCACACGGGAAAAGAAAAATTTTTCGTTTACTTTACTACAACATTGACGACGAAGGATTCGTTTCTCAGACGGAGAAAGAAAGAAAAAAATTTTTCGTACGTCTAACAACAACATTGGCGACAAAGGAATTCCTAATTCATACGTAAGAAAAAATTTTCGTTCACTCTAACAATTTTGGCGACAAAGAATTCGAAATTCATACGAAAAAAAAAAATTAGTTTCGCCATATACAACACTTTGCTACGAACGTATTTTGGTTTCATACGGGAAAAAAAAATTGCGTTCACACTACAACACTTGTCAACGTGGATTCGTAACTCATACAGAGGTGAAAAAAAAAATCACCCGCCATAATACACGTAACGTACGTGGGATTGCGTTTCATATTTTGAAAAATAAAATAAAATTCGCTCGCGTTATTTAGTGACGAAATTCGTGTTTCACCCGGAGCAAAAAAAAAATTTTGCTAGTCAAATTTTTCGGAGACAATTCGGATTCACATAAAACTTGGCAAAAGTTTTTTTGAAAGACAAAACGTCAACTTAGTGACGGAAAAATCAGTCGTATTCTCAACTGAGAAAAGAACTTTATTTTTTCTCGATAAGACAGTTTGCTCAAATAGATTTAAAATTCGTTTTGGACCCCCTGAACAATATTTAAGTATTGTAAGATTGAGGAATGCAAAAATATATTCCAGGAATTTTTTAAGTTCCAACGGAACAACAAAATTATGGGAACAACAGAAAACATTCCAGATACAACTTCAAGAGGATACCTTTAATAGACAAATGCAATTTCAACGAGAAATGGAACAGATGCATAGGGAGTTTCAAAACAAAATTCTGGAAATAACTGAGAAGAGGAAAGAGGAAAATCTCTTTCCCAGAGAATACAATATGGAATTCGATTGAAAGATTCACGTACAGTCCAGACGAAGAAATAACTTTTGAAGAGTATTTTAAAAAATATACAGACGTGTATAACGAGGACTGCCAAACGTGGTCTGAAGGAAAGAAGGTTAGACTTCTTTTAAGCAAGTTAGGAACTGCTGAGCATAATAAATTGGTAAGCTACATTTTACCGAAAAAAACTAGCGAGTTAACATTTACCGAGGCGGTAAATATATTAAGTGAATTATTTAGTAAAAAGAGATCTTTGTTTCACAAAAGGTGGAAATGTTTGAATCTGATGAAAGATGATGAACAAGACTTCATAACGTATGCAGCTAATGTGAACAAGAATTGTGAAGAATTCAAACTAGCAGAATTAAGCTCTGACAATTTCAAGTGTTTGATATTTGTCCAGGGTTTAGTTTCAGAAAGAGACGCAGAATTGAGGAAATTGGTACTTTCAAAATTGGAAAAAAAACCGAAGATTTCGGTACAGAGTTTGGCAGAAGACTGCACAAGATATGTTAGCGTAAAGAAAGACTCGAAAAAGATAGAACAGTCTGGCGTTGCAAGGAAAATACGCTACAAAAAAAAAGTCAGTCTACCAAAAAGAATTCTAAAATTGCGGATTATCAAATAAAAAGTGAAATACCAGAAAAAAAAAAACAAAAACTCCCGAAGCCATGTTTTGCTTGCGGTGAACTTCACTGGTATAGATATTGCAATTTTAGGAATAAAAATGTTTCAACTGTGAAAGAGTGGGGCATAAAAGCTCGCACTGCAGTTCAAAAAATAAAAAATAAATAAGAAAATTAAAGTCCGACGAAGTGAACGACGGAATAACCAGAAAATTTGTTACCGTCGAAATATGTAATAAAAAAAAAAAAATGCAACTCGACACTGGTTCCGACCTATCTATCATAAATTTGAATACGTGGAAGAAGTTGGGGAAACCAATTTTTTAATGAAGAATGAAATAAAATCGCGAGGTTCGTGACAGGAGAAAAAATACAATTTATTGGAGAATTTGTTACAAACGTCACGTTAAATAAAAAAAAAACGCAAAAAGCTAAACTATTTGTCATGAAAAATACCACGAACTTACTTGGTACGGATTGGATAACAGAATTTCAATTATGGGATTTACCAATAAATTCTTTCTGTTACAAGGTTGAAAATTTAAACTACGAAGCTAAAAATTAGTTAGGAAACTAAAGAGAACTTTTCCTATTGTTTTTTCTCCAGGTTTGGGAACGTGTACCAAGATTGAGGCAAAATTACAGCCAAAACAAAACGCTCAGGCGGTATTCAAAAAGAAAAGGAATTTGCTGTTTGCTTCAATTGAACAGATAGATAAAGAATTGGACAGATTAGAGAAAAACGGGTTTATTTAAAAAAGTGGAATGGCTAACACCGACAATATGCGTGAAAAACAAGCTTCAGAAAGTAAAAATGAAGCCGACACCGAAAAAAAAACTGAGGAACAAGTTACACGCAACCAAGGACATGCAGTATTATTAAATGATTTAAGTCAACAAGAATCTACAGAAACTGTGAGTCCAACTTTAAGAAGTTCAAAGCGGAAGGTTGTTTCTGGTAACGCTTTGGAGATATATATATATAAAAAAATATATATATATATATAAAAAGCGGATTGGCTACATGACGTACTTGGTGAAAGGGGTAAAACTCACGTGCAGTAAACAGATCAGACGACGTTTTTTCAGACGTGGTTGACAGCGGTCCCGCGAAAAAAAAAAAAAAACGCCGATGGAGGTGATTTTTTAATAAGTTTGATCTAACAAACCCCTGCAAATAATTTTACCTACGGTACGCCGATCCAGAAGAAAAAAAAAAAAAACTGATCATTTAAAAGTGGATAAAAAAAAAACGTAGAAATACGCTACGATGTTGTTAAAAAAAAAAAAAAAATTTTTTTCTGTAAAAATTTGAAAAATAAATAAAAAAAATTTTACTCCTGCGGAGTAAAGTTTTAGGGGGGGATGTTGTGCCATAGTACCTATTCTTTGATAATGGACTCTCCCATAGATAATAAGTAGGAGTAGCAGTGGCATGTCTGGCAGAACGGCGTCTCGCGGTCTCTGTCTGCGCACGCCTCCTGTCGAACTCTCTGCGTTAGCAGGAGGAACCCGGACGAGGCTTTGCCGAAGGGGCAAGGTTTCGTCCGGGGAGGTAGACAGGCCTGAACCCGTTTAATCGGCTTCAAAAGGCTATTTTTTTGGCCGAGCCTACGGGCTCGGGGAAACCCACATAAAAACCGGCCTTGTGCCATATTCTTTTCCGTGGGTGAAAAGATAAATACCGAACGGCGTCTCGCGGTCTCTGACTGCGCACGCCTCCTGTCGAACTATCTGCGTTAGCAGAGAGGAACCCGGACGAGGCTTTGCCGAAGGGCAAGGTTTCGTCCGGGGAGGTGGACAGGCCTGAACCCGTTTAATCGGCTTCAAAAGGCTATTTTTTTGGCCGAGCCTACGGGCTCGGGAAACCCACATAAAACCGGCCTTGTGCCATATTCTTTCCGTGGGTGAAAAGATAAATACCGAACGGTGTTTAGCGGTCTTTGACTGCGCACGCCTCCTGTCGAAACTCTCTGCGTTAGGTTTGCCGAAGGGCAAAGTTTCGTCCGGGAGGTAGCCTGAACCCGTTTAATCGGCTTCAAAAGGCTTTTTTTTTTGGCCGAGCCTACGGGCTCGGGCTCGGGAAACCCACATAAAAACCGGCCTTGTGCCATATTCTTTTCCGTGGGTGAAAAGATAAATACCGAACGGTGTTTAGCGGTCTTTGACTGCGCACGCCTCCTGTCGAACTATCTGCGTTAAGCAGAGGAACCCGGACGAGGCTTTGCCGAAGGGCAAAGTTTCGTCCGGGGAGGTAGACAGGGCCTGAACCCCGTTTAATCGGCTTCAAAAGGCTATTTTTTTGGCCGAGCCTACGGGCTCGGGGAAAACCCACATAAAAACCGGCCTTGTGCCATATTCTTTTCCGTGGGTGAAAAGATAAATACCAGAACGGCGTCTAGCGGTCTTTGACTGCGCACGCCTCCTGTCGAACTCTGCGTTAGCGAGGAACCCGGACGAGGCTTTGCCGAAGGGCAAGGTTTCGTCCGGGGAGGTAGACAGGGCCTGAACCCGTTTAATCGGCTTCAAAGGCTATTTTTTGGCCGAGCCTACGGGCTCGGGGAAACCCACATAAAAACCGGCCTTGTGCCATATTCTTTTCCGTGGGTGAAAAGATAAATACCGAACGGTGTTTCGCGGTCTCGGACTGCGCACGCCTCCTGTCGAACTCTCTGCGTTAGCAGAGGAACCCGGACGAGGCTTTGCCGAAGGGCAAGGTTTCGTCCGGGGAGGTAGACAGGGCCTGAAACCCGTTTAATCGGCTTCAAAAGGCTATTTTTTGGCCGAGCCTACGGGCTCGGGGAAAACCCACATAAAAACCGGCCTTGTGCCATATTCTTTCCGTGGGTGAAAAGATAAATACCGAACGGTGTTTAGCGGTCTTTGACTGCGGCTGTCGAACTCTCTGCGTTAGCAGAGAGGAACCCGACGAAACTTTGCCGAAGGGCAAGGT